TTCCATTCGTCCGGCTTTTCTGCCCCCTCCTGCCTTCTTGTCCTTGTCCCTGGGCTGGTGTGCCCATTTAGTCTCGTTTTGTTTTATGGGCCTGTCTAACCTTTGGCTGAGGGGTGAATCTCAGGAGTGACTTCAATACTGAGTTAACTCACAAAACAAAATCAGACTTACTAGTCTGACAGAGACTGAAGAAACCCTGAGAGTACGGCCCCTGGACACCCGTTTAACTCAGTACTGAAGTCACTGCTAAGGTTCACCCTTCAGCAAAAGATTAGACAGGCCCATAAAACAAAATGAGACAAAATGGGCACACCAGCCCAGAGGCAAGGACGAGAAGGCAGGAGGGGCAGAAAAGCCGGACTAATGGAAATGGGGAGCCCAAAGTTGAGAAGGGGAGAGTGTTGGCATGTCACAGGGTTATAACCAGTGTCACAAAACAATATGTATATTAAATGTTTAATGAGAAACTAATCACCTGTGTAAACCATCATTATTTATTTTTATTGTTGTGCTTTAAGTGAAAGTTTACAATTCAAGTTAGTCTCCCATACAAAAATTTATACACACATTGTTATGTAACCCTAGTTGCTCTCCCTATACTGTGACAGCACCCTCCTCCTCTCCTCCCCGGATTTCCCGTTTCCGTTCAACCAGCTCCTGACCCTCTCTGCCTTCTCATCCCACCTCCGGACAGGAGCTGCCCATTTAGTCTCATGTATCTACTTGAGCTAAGCAGCACACTCTTAATGGGCCGCAGATGAGTGTTACCAGTTGACGCCTACCCATGTGTATCAGAGTAGAGCTGTGCACCATAGGGTTTTCAATGGCTGTGCTCGTTTGGAAGTAGATCACCAGGCCTTTCTTCCGAGGCGTTTCTTGGTGAACTTAAACCTCCAGTGTTTTGCTCAGCAGCCGAGCATGTTCACTGTTCGCACACCAGGGGACTCCGAGATAGGTGTTGTCGTTGTGTGCCATCAAGTCGATTCTGATTCATAGTGACCCTGTAGGACAGAGCTGAACTGCCCCATAGGGTTTCCTAGGCTGTAATCTTTACGGAAGAAGACTGCCACAGCTTTCTCCCGCGCAGTGGCTGGTGGGTTTGAACTGCCGACCTTTCAGTTAGCAGCTGAGTGCTTAACCACTGTGCTACCAGGGCTCCTTCAAGAATGGTGTACCCCCTTCCTTTTAAGGGGCCTTTCTAGAATAGCACATGTTACTTCTGTTTTCGTCTCCTTCGTGGAATTTATTTAGTCACATGGCTGAAAGGAAAGATGGGAAATGTAGTATTTCAGCTAAAAATTGAGGTCCTGGAGTCCCTGCAAGCAGCCCCGGTGGTGCGATGGTTGAGTATTTGGCCGCTAACCAAAAGGTTGGTGGTTCGAACCCACCAGCTGCTCTGCGGGAGAAAGATGTGACAGTCTGCCTCTGTAAAGATTACAGCCTTGGAAACCCTATGGAGGCAGTTCTGCTCTGTCCTACAGGGTTGCTATGAGTCAGAATCACCTCGACAGCAACGCAATGGGTTGGGAGCCCCTGAGTGGCTCAAACAGTTAAGCACTCAGATGCTAACCCTAAGGTTGGTGCTTCAATTCCACTCAGAGGCTCCTCAGAAGAAAGGCCTGTCAATTTACTTCCCAAAAATTAGCCACTGAAAACCCTATAGAGCACGGTTCTACTCTGACACACTTGGGGTCAGCATGAGTCAGAGTCAACTTTGACAGCAACTATTTTGTTTTTTATAGCTAAAGAAGGTCAGAGCAGTCATTAGGAGGAAACTGTCTGATTTCTCTATTGCTGTAACTGATCACCCCCAAACATGGTGGCTTAACCAACACTCAGTGATCGATTGTCTCATGTTTCTGAGGGTTGGAGATCTGGGCACCACTTAACGAGGTCCTCCGCTCTTGGGTCTCTCACACACCACTATCAGAGTCTGTCTCCCACCTGGAAGCTCGATGGGAAGGATGCACTTCTCAGCTCGCGTGGTGTTGGAAGGACTCACTTCTCTGTAGGCTGTGGGACCGTGGGCCTCAGTTTCTCACTTATCATTGGCCCGAGGCCACCCTCAGTTCCTTGCCAGGTGGGCCTCTCCAACAAGGCCTCTTACTTCATCAAAATGTGCAGGCTGAGAAGGTAACAGAGAGAGTGCCAGCAAGATGGAAGTCACCATCTTTTCTGACCAAATCACTAGAGTGACCTCCCATCACCTTTGCCATACTGGGGAGAAGTAACCACCAGGTCAAGCCACACTTATGAGGAGGGGGCTACACAAAGGCATGAATCCAAGCAGGTGGGGATCATTGAGGCTATCCTGGAAGTCCGCCTCCCCCAGCAAGTAACACATCGTGCCCTGCCCTGGGTGGGAGCTGGCACCCCATCCGACACGGTGGACAGGGCCTTTATTAACCGCAGGGAATGCGGACTGAAGGTTGGCCTCTTGTTTCTCGGCTGTCCTTACCCCAGGAAGGTGGTGCCATTGCTATACCCCTGGCAACAAGGCTTCCTGCCATGACACTGGGTTTCCCTTTACCTGAGCACTTTGGAATGATTGACAGGCTCTGGGAGAGGGTGGGGCTGTGGCTTGTGGCCACAGAAGAGGGGACACTGATTAGCAGGTGTGATGGCATCTGAGTGGGCTTGGGTTGGTTGCAACTTGCTCTCCCCAGGGGCTCTGTGGGCAGGTGGGAAGAGCTGCCTTCCTACTCCCCTGCCCTGCTTGCTCACCTACCTCCCCATGAGATGGTGAGGCCTGGAGCCAGGACCCTCCAGCGCCAGCCAGCACCACTGGTGACATGAGAGGTGCCCCACAGACCAACGCTGCCGAGAGCAGCGACCTCCATGGTGGAAGGGCACCCGCTGGGTGGGGGTTCATTCTTGTGGGGGGCGTCTCTGCGGTGTCCCAGGGGCTTCTCACTGCACCAGCCACAGCCTCTGAGCAGTGCCACTGACTGGGCAGCTTTGCCACTTTACCACCTGGTGCCCGCTGCACGCCCGCTGTCCCCTCCGCTTCCTCCTATGCTGGGAGACCCTGAAGGTGCCCAGCTCCAGTGGTGCCTGCCCTGCTGGGGCCTCTGCTTTGGGAGGAGGGCGAGCACCTGGGCTCCTCACCCCTGAAAGGCCCATCTCTTGGGATCTCAGTCGCCACAAACCATAACCAGTTCTCTTCAGCTGTTCCCTGTTCCTCCTGGCACCGAATGACTTAGACCGGGCCAGCAAGTGCGCAGATCACCTGCCAGCGTGGGGCGCACGAACTTCCCAGCCACAGCCTCTCCCACTGCGCCGCCAGGCGTCGGGGGTTGCCTTTCTGCGCGGGGCCGAGGGGGCGGCACTGCGCGGACTGCGGAGCAGGGCCTGGGGCCGCGCGGGGAGGCACCGGGCGGACAGCGGAGCACGACGGCTCCCCCAGGTGAGCGGCGGGCACGGCTGAGCCCGAAGAACAGCGCTCCGGCCTGGCCATATGGGAGCCCGTGGCAAAGGGAAAAATCATAATAGCACTACTGTACAATTTGGATATTTTGTTCACCATGGATTTTTTTGCATTAATTTCGATTTTCTTAAATATTGCATTAGAATATTGTTTATCTTGTTTTCCGACGCCCCTTACATTTTCCCCCCGGCGCCAGTGTCTCCCTCGTCCCACCCTCGTCCGGCCCTAGAGCAGGGAACCGGCGAGCGGGGAACCGGCAGGTGCAGTCTGGCGCCCTGGCGCTCTCCCAGCTCGCTTCCACCCGCTCTCTCACCCACCACACGGCTGCCTCTCAGAGCCGCGGTGGAGGGCTGAGGATGCAAAGGGCACACGTTCGCGAGGGTCCCGGCACGGCGCTAGTACGCTGGAGCTTTGCTCAGCAACAGCACGCGCCACCGTCCGGAAGCCCCTGTTCCTGAGCCGGGTGGTCTGAGCGCACCCGGGCAGGGGCAGCCCAGAACCGCCTCTGGCCTCTGGTCTCCCTTCTCCCTCCCTCCC